TTATGACTTTATACGGAAGTGTGTGTGGTAGGGAGGTAGATAATCAGGGGGTAGAAGTGGATATGTTCTCTTGGCCTCTGGTTCAGGTCCTTCTCACAGTAGATTGCAACTGCAATTATGTTGCAGTAGAAGAATCTGTCAAACTGATGCTCAGGATGGTAGCATTTGATTTATTAAATGCACAGTAACATGTTGTTGCTTTAATAATCATCTCTGCACCAGCTTGCTTTGTTTAAAAACATTAATTTGTATTCAAATAGAGAGTCTTGAATATACAGAAACATCCTGAAGCGCTTTTGAGGCGCACTTTCAACCAAATGTTGACACTGGGCCGTTCAGGGGAAATATTACAGCCAAGGCCAAATGCTTGGTCAAAGAGAGGTTTTAAAAGAAGCTTCTAAAAGGAGGAGAGGGACGCAAAGCAGAGGAGAGACAGGGAAGTTTAGGAAGAGAATTTCAGAGCCGATCATCTGAACAGCTGAAGGCAGTCACTACTATTGAAGTGATGGAAATTGGTAGTCTGCAAGAGGCCAGGATTGGGGTGGGGAGGGAGAGACAGACAGAATCTGGAAGAGGTGCAGGAGATCAGAGATAACGGAGAGTTGAGGAACAAACTTAAAAATAAGAATGAAAATTTTAAAAATCAAGGTACCTCTCAAGCAGGCAACAGCGTGTCGAGAAGCAGAAGAGTAATGGGTTAACAGAATTTGGAACAAGTCAGAAAACAGGCAGAGTTTTGAATGACATCTGTATGGAAGTCCAGGATTCCATTTTGCTTATATTCATGAGCCTGAATACAAGTCACTGAACCATGTTCTGTGCTTGGACTTTCAATTACTACATCTGAGAAACCGTGTAACGTGCGTTAAGATGAAACAATGAAGAAACACAAAAGGTATTCTCAGTTTAGGAGCTCTAAACAATAGCTGGAAATTGAAAATGTGATGGGGAGAGCTAACACTCCTTAAATTTGATCCCATAGGAGCGGTTACCGCCTGGGAATACAGAATCAGCCCTTTAATTTTCAACACGTGCCTGGCAAAATGACATGAGAAGACTTATTTTGAGAACAGAGCGTAAAAACAAAGTTGACATTCCAAGCATAGTGCATCACTCTTATTCTGTAATCAGAGATGCCACCTTTCAGACATGACATTTAACCAAGATCTTGCTTACCCTCTCAGATGGCTGCAAAGCATACTCCCCTGGTGCTACATAGAAAAAAATGCAAGTTCCCCCTGGTGTCTGAGCCCACATTTGTTTCTTAATCAACATTAAATCTTGCCTTCAGTTCTTTGGCATCTGTGGAGTCTTGCTGTGCAGAAATCAGCATTAGAATAGTGGCACACTTCCAAAAGAACTTTGTGGTACCAGTGCTCCAAAATAAACTGAGGTTAGGCAAGACATTACATAAATAGAAATATTTTTGTTCCCCCATACAGAAGCTAAGAAGAGTAGATATGAAACATCCATGAACAAAACCTGTGTTTAACAAAAATCTGTTCATCACCAATAAAGTCATGGCCATATTTCTAATGATGTTACACTGTTGGCCAGTAGCCTCATCTAACATTGTAGTCACATAGGTCTTTCAGTGACTCGATTGGCTAGTTTCAGGCAACTTGCAAAGCTACACACATTCTGTGCTCAATTATGATCACAGGTTGTACAAAAATGATGCACTATTATTCAGATGACCTGGGAGCCTGTTGAAGTTTAATAGATCTGATCATTGCACAAGACCTTGATTTGTTATAGATTGATTGTTTAAAAACACAATTTCGCACATTGTTGAAAGGGTCAAAAACAAACAAAAAAGTCTGGGGGAGGTTGAGAACATTTTTCTTAAAAAAAAAAGCCTTATAGTCATTACAGTACAAAAGGCAACCAGTCAGCGTGTCAAATTCATGCTGGTATGAAAGCGACTACACTGGGCTCAATAAAACATGAATTTAGTTTTAAATAAAAGTTCATCAATTGAAGCATAATCCTTCTCTTCCTCTGAAATTATTTAAGACGAGGAAGTCCACAACTTCAGATATGAGCTATTCGGCTCATGGATTTAAACAAGAATCCTACATTTGACTGGTAAAACTAGGCTGAAATGGAGAAACAGCTTCTCATCCTTAAAGGAAATAATTGTGCCATGCATTTTAATAGTCAAGTATTTCCATATATATGCAGGAGTCTTGTGGGCTGTCAGCTTTGTCCCAATTTTCATTCTCTTTTGGAGAAATTGCGTGCACCGCACAGCTGCATCACCGAACTTTTTCCCGGATCTGAAATCAGTTAAGTGCTTCAGTCTCTGCTTGAGAAGTGCTAAGAGGGATGATTACAGTTACATGGTGATTGGCCTTTTGTTACCATGCCTGTTAATGAAATCATACTGTACATTTTAAAAAAAAAAGTCAATTGCCTATCATTTTGCTAGAGAGCAAGAAAAAAACCCTTTCGTTGAATAAAGGGAAACAGAGACCGTTGCTCTATCTAGTTAACTCTCCATTTTAAACACATCAACAATTTACAGTCAGCCTACACACTAATGTACTGTATTTAGCCCCTAGCCTATTCCAACCATATCCAGGATGAAAAAAAGCCATCCATGCACTGAACAACATAGATTAGAGATTAAGTAGTGCTATGACCGAGGCTTGAGGTGTGCAGTGTCACTCATCTCACTATTCTACGGGTCACAGCAAAAATAAAAGTATTTTTTCCAGTTGCCAGGATGACCAGTTCAATATTCAATACCTCATCTCAATCAGATTTTAAACAAACAGATCTACTGAGCAGGTTTCTTAATTATCTAAAACATATTTAATGAAAGTGCAACACATGGTTAACTTATGCTGTTGATAATACAGAAGGCTTCACTTCAAAATATTCCCAAAACATATTCTTACTTTTAGAGGAAAATAAAATATTTCTCTGCAAAGATGGGCTTTCAAAAAAGAACACTCTAGCTAATGGGTTTTTAGTCAAAAAAGGGTAAATCAAAACATATTCCAGAATCAGTTACAGTGATGCTGTGGCACACATTGTCAAGTCATAAATCACACACTGTTGTCTTGGAGATTCAGCTTGCTCATGAGAAACAACCTTCAGATTTTCTTAATGTTATTTTTTCCCCAAATGGACTAACAGGTTCTACTAGGAAGCCAACAAGAGGGTTTTCTTTTCAGAAATAGGGGAGGTCAGCTGGATGACTTATTCTTAGCAAGCTTTCCTCCATCCTCAGTATGTTCCTCACAGGCTTCTTTCCAGCTGAACCTGATAATTTAAGAGCCTCTCCAAGGTAGTCATTATTGAAGACCAACAAAAAAAAAAGCTCCAAACAGGGGTCTGCAGTCCAGCAAATAATTATTACCAGTCACGTGATTTACAGAAAACCCTGTTTAAAAGATATAAACTGGAATTTCTACTTAAAAAGGTTCACTGTCTACAATGGACTTTCAATGACCTCTATTAAAGAAACTACTACTGTTATTTTCACGCAAGTCGGAGTAAATTCATTTTCTCTACAATATTGTCTAACTCATGTCCTCCAAGATATATTAACCATAAAATGCCTTTGTAACAATAGTTAAATTTCAGTTTGTCATGAGAGACTGGAGTCTACTTTGCTGAGGGCAGCTACCAAACCAAATGGGCCTCCTTCTCAATGCCCAACCATTTTTGAACGGATAATGAAATGGAACCTCCTGTTTGGTGAGACATAGCTTATCTCAGGTGATCAGACAGCTGAATTGTTATTTTAACCATGTGGCCACATTTTACTCAGACAGCCTAAACACCTAAGAAATATCATTTTTTTTCAACTGTGAAAAGAAATTTGAATTTTTAAATTTAAAAGCCCACTGTATGGCTTAGAGTCATAGATATGAAACAGAAACAGACTCTTCAGTCCAACTTAACCGCGCCAACCAGATGTCCTAAACTGATCTAGTCCCATGTGCCAGCATTTGGCCCATATCCCTCTAAACCCTTCCTACTCATGTACTCATCCAAATGCCTTTTAAGTGTTGCAATTGTACCAGCCATCAGCAGATCCTCTGGCAGCTCATTCCGTACACGCACCATACCCTCTGCGTGAAAAAGTTGCCCCTCAGCTCCCTTTTAAATCTTTCCCCTCCCACCTTAAACCCATGCCCTTTAGTTTTGGCCTCCCCCACCTTAGAAAGAAAACCTTGGCTATCACCCTTTCTATACCCCTCATGATTTTAGAAACCTCAGTAAAAGGTTAAATAAAAATCTTCTCCCACTGAGGTAGACTAATGATGCCACTCCTCGTTAGCATCTGCTGGAGATTCAAGGATTTTAGAGAAATTACTTTCACAGGCTTGTGCTGTAGCTTCAGCATTACTGAGAATATTTAGGAGACAAAGTTGCTTTGCTACAGATAGTACTCAGCCTAATGACCTTTAGCCCAACCTGAAAGGATTCCTGAAGCTGCATTCCAAGAACATTTTCATAACCCCATGGACATCAGATATCTAGAACACAGTTAACCGAGAGATCCTTCTTAGCTACGAAGCCTCTGATTACCACATTGCACGAGAAAGCTACAAGAGCAGAACTCTATCCTGAAAAAGGCTGCAATCACAAAATGATTCTTCAAATCAACTTTGCATATCAAGGAGTGGAACTGAGATAAAAGAATAGCCACCTTCATACTGAATGGTGCACAGGCTTGAGGGTCTGAATGAACTACATCTATTTTGTACCTGTTTTTATTTAAATAAACCTCTTTCTTGCTTCCTTTGATTTGATGAGACTGGTGTGCACAGGTTGAATGCAGCTGTCTATACCAGAGTAATGGTTACAGCGTAAGCAATGACTCAAAGATTGCCATTTGCTTTCAAGCATCAATATAAAGTTATTGGCATCTTAATGTGCACTGGAGCTTAGCTGGAATGAATTGCAACTTTCACCTTTCAGCACTGTCATTTATTATCCTAAAGTGAAATGGTTTCCAGTATATGAAGGAAAAATCTCATTACCTGTGATACTGTGCTTGCAGAAACTGAAACTCATCTTTGATTCGATCACACGAGTCCGAGGTAGTAAACTTCAACTGTTGTGCTGACTGTGATGGAGCCTTTTTAAAAAAAACAGAAAAAAAAATGAATTAATTACGAGACAAAACAACTTGTGATATAATTAGTCATTTTAACCTACAAGCAGAAAAGACAGATGCGTGTCTGTTACAATGATTTATTAATGGGTAGGAAATGTTGCGAAACAACAACAGATGAAGGACAGATCAGTTTTAAATTTGGTTCATGCCATCTGCTTGATTTTCTAACTTTATGGGGATGGTTTGTGATGGATACAATATATGTGTCAAATGTGTCTGGTTTTTCTCAGTCAATGTATGTTAGAATTAAGAAATGTGGAGGATCATCACATGCTCTCTTGAACCTGCTCCACCATTCAATATGATCATGACTGATCTTGTGGCTTGTACTCTACTTTCCCAGTCAGCTCCCAAGAGGCCAAAAATCTGTCCATCTCAGATTTAAAAGTATTCAACAATGAAGCATCCACAATCCTGCGGGGCAGATAATTCAAAAGATTCATAATCCTTTGACTGAAGAAATTTATCACCACAGTCCTCAATGATCACTCAATTTTCCTGAAACAGTGGCTGCTTGTTGATTCCCCAGCCAGGGGAAATATTGCCTCAGTATCCACCCAACCCAGACAAGCCCCTTATTAATCTTCAACGTTTTAATCAGCTCACCTATCAATTCTTCTAAACTCCAGAGAATATAGACCCCAATTTACTTTGCCCTGTGATAGGGCAATTAACACACCAATCTCACAAAGCTTCATTGCACAGTGGTGAATGTAAATATATCCTTCTTACGGAGATCAAAATTACACCATATTCTAGGCGTTGGTCTTACCGAAGTACAATTACTGCAAGCCTTCTTTAGTGCAAGGTGATTGGATTCATAGAATTCCTACAGTGTGGAAGCAGGCCATTCAGCCCGAGTCCACACCAACTCTCAGAACAGCATCCCATCCCCTATCCTATCCCTGTAACCCTGCATTTCCCATGGCTAATCCATCTGGCCTGCACATCCCTGGACACTATGGGCAAATTTTGCATGGCCAATCCACCCAACCAGCACACTTTTGGACTGTGGGACGGGACGGGAGCATCCAGAGGAAACCCACACAGATACAGGGAGAACGTTTGTGTGGAGTTTGCAGAGGCTGGAATCAAACCCAGGTCCCTGGCGCTGTGAGGCAGCAAGCGCTAACCACTGAGCCATCGTGCTGCACCAATTGCTTACTTGCTGTACCTGTATGCTAAATTTGTGCATTCCTTGGATATGCATATCAAGTCTCTCTGATCCTCATCAATTAAAAGTTCATACCATGTAAGATGTGTACATCTCCACTGAGAGAACCTACACTTAGTGATTACTGGACCACTATAAACGTTAATGCAATTTTGTTAAGGTATCGAACACAGCCTCATTCTTCTAATTAACCCTCTCTCATCCCATCCTCTGCCAACCCAAAGGCAGTCATATCTTGCTATATTTGGACACACACGAGCTAGTGATTCTCCACATGCATCTAATCTTCACATATGAGCTGACACATTACTGTGTCTGCAAATTATTCAACTGTTGGATTGCACCAAGAAAACTTCTCCAATCAAACAGCGAACATGTGCATCTTCCAGCAAAAGGCAGAAATTCAATAGCAATCAAAAATGGATACCCTGGTTGATTTTCCTTCCTAACACACACCATGTACAAGAAGGAAACCCCAGCATCTTGGGTCGTTGATTTATTTAGGCTCAAGTAGTATCTATAACAAAGAATAATTACTCTTTAGAGCTTCTCATGGTCTTAAGGAAAGCCTTTGGGGATATCAGCTGCCACCTAAGTGGGATAACACAAGTGAATAATGTTACAGAGAGGAGCAGCAAACGTGCACCAAATGGATAAGCTATTTCACTGAAAACCACCAACTCCAAATTTGAAGTCCACGCTTAGAACCGAGCTGTAACCTTGTCATGTTTGCCTAATTGGTCTGGTCTCCGCAGCTCAGTTGTGACAGAGAGAGAAGGCAAATGATGTGGGGCTAGGTTTTATCAATTCTATATTAGGAGATAACAAAAAAAATCAGAACAGCAGAATGTTCTCATCCAGTTTCCTTCACACAAAAAATACTTGAGCACGCTGAGGCAGTTCCCTATAACACCTACCATTTTCCCAGCTTAGCACCTCAAAATGACAGAAGAAAGGAGACTGCTTTCATTCAAAGGATTTGGTTAAGTCCTGAAGAAAGACTCAAAGCATGAATTCTGTTTTTCTCTCTCTCTCTCCACAGATGCTGCCAGAGTTTCTCCAGCATTCTGTATGTGTGTGTGTTGTTGGCTGGCAGTTAACCACATTGGTGTGGGTCTGGAGGCCAGGCCAGGTAAGGACAGAAGTTTCCTCCCTAACAGGGATATCAGTGAACCAAGTGGGGTTTTTTTCCAGCAATTGACAGCAGTTTCATGGTCATCCACATACTCTTAACTCCAGAGTTATTTTTCTTGAATTCAAAATCCACCATCTGCTATTTGAGATTCAAAACTGGGTAGCCAGAATATTACTTGGGTCTCTGGATTAATAGTCTAGTGATAATACCACGAGGCCAACAATTCCTTTTCTTACTTCTATGTCTTTACAGGTCCACTGATAAACATGGATAGAATAAAAAAGTGACATCTATCAGAATAAATCAGTCCAAGCTGAAGAATTTTATTTGCCATCGGTAATTGGAATGCATTGCGAATTATACGTTATGCCAGTCCGAAACTAAAAATATGCGAACTCCAACCCAAGGATGTAAGTGTGTTGCTCAGGGAACTTGGCCAAGTGTCACATTCAGTATTTGCTGAAGTGCAATAGCCAGAACTAGCCTTGCCACAGGTCAGTCAGCTTTCACTTCCAGAGTCCAAGGTGGTGAGCCCATCCTGTGAAGAGTCAATATAGAAAACATGCACCAACAAGTTAAAGAGATGGAAGAAAATTACCATTCTGGCATGGCACTGTGCATACTGCAAGAAAGCCCACTGCGATGAAATAATCCAAGCAGTTCCTGACAAACCATCAGTAGAACTTTGCAAAAACCCAGCATGATTGCCTTCACTCAAGCTGGTGTCCAGCAATACTGCAGTCAACCATTTTTAATTAAGTCAGTACAGTTTTAGGGGGAAGAACGTAGCTTATAAAAAGCCAGTCAACCAACAGGTCCTTGATTACTCACATGCCTGAAAACAATTTAAATATCCATGTCTGTTACATTATTAAAAAGCACCCTCAATTCAAGCTAGACATTAATGGGAAAATAATTTCAATGCTGGAATAAATATGGCCTCTAGCTGCTTCAGACAAGACAGAGATAATGCGTTCCCTGTTTCACCACAACCTGCAAGGTCTCACACATAAGCCAGGAAGAAAAGAGCTGTGTTGTCAAGTCCATCACCTTTCTCTTCCCCCAAGGCAACATCCAGAACTAGTGTGATTTATTGCAATAAGAAAACCGGCTTGCAAAAAAAGCACTGTACATTAAAAATTACAGAAGCATTTCTCTCAAAAGATTTCTGGAGTTGCAATTCATTTTTGCACAACAATATCTTTTGGCTCTCTTTTCTGCTCTTCCCTACCATGAAAACATCCGTGTTTCTCTGAACAATGATTAAAATGGTCAGAATGTGGGTGACATTAACCGCAGGGAGTAAACGAAAGAGTTAACCTGGCTTTGCAGTCAAATCACTCAAACAGAGATCCTCCCTGGGGTTTGAGCCAATGCAAAGCTTTTCTGCAGGCAACTGCAGATAAATATCACATTGATGGTTTTAAAGAACCCAATTGAATGCAGCCAGGTTTGAAATGAGCACACATACACCCCCAGTACATTTTGCAACAGACATGGCCATTCTATCTCGGCTGTAAGATTCCAACTTGTATTGTGAATGCAATCCTGCATCCATCCAAAAAAATGATGGAAACATCTTGAAAATCAGTACATAGCCACCATTATGTATATGCTGACAGAAGAGCAGAAATGTTCTTTAGGTTTCCCTGCTCTCCTGAAACATTACTACACCTTTTGGTCATCTGTTGCTAATGCTTCCAACTCTTGTTGGACATATCCCTGGAGATCAAGTTATTAAAACATCCCATTCTGACCACCCATTCAACAGCCTTTTCCCGTATCTCAATCTTTAAAAAAAAGAAGTACTTAAGTTAAAAAGGGATCGAGTTGGAGAGGCAGCAGTACAATCACAAAATCATTAGATAAATAATCCCAGAGACCCAGGTTAATGTTCTGGGGATATACACGTGCAAATCCATGACAGATGGTGAAATTCGAATTCACTAAAATTTGGAATTAAAAGCTAGCCAAATGGCAACCACATAATCATTGTCCACTGATGTTAAAAAGAATCCATCATCAGGTTCACTCGTGTCCTTTAGGAAAGGAACTTGGCCATCCTTACCTGGTTTGGCGTAAACGCAATTCTGGATCCACAGCATTGTTATTGACTCTCCACTACCCTCTGAAATTGCCTACAGAGCCAAACTTCGAGAGCATCTGGGATGGGCAACAAATGCCACGCTTGCTAGCGATACACACATCCCAAACAAGAATTTAAGCAAATTTTGAAATAGGACGAGTCTATCCTTGTAAGCTTATCCCACCAATGAACAAGGTCATCGCTAACCTTGCTGTCAACTTCACACTTCTGTCTGTTTCCATATAACCCTTAACTCCCGAGTGATTGAAAAATAGACACTTTCAATGAGTGAACCACCACTGCTCTGCGAGAGAGAGAATTCCAAAGATCCGTGACCCTCTAAAGAGAAGGGTCTCTATTCTGACATGGACAGCACACAACAATTTTTTTTTTTTTTTAAAAACGCTGTACTTTGTCTCCAGTACTAGTGTCCAATAAATTAATCTTGGAAGTTTGACAACCTGACCCACTCCATTCCGAGTAAGGTTTAACAAATTTCTATTTCTGTAGCTAGCAGCACTTGTTTCGATATAATGACAGAAAATGTCACTGGAACAACTGCTTGG